TACGCACATACGCAGCTTTCCACTTTTCTTGCGCACCAATACAACATTAGATGACCAAGGTGAAAAGGACTGGCGGATGATGCCACTTGCAAGAAGTTGTTGGAGATGCTCCTTCACTTCGTGATACATGGCTGGTGGAATTCGTCTGTGCCTCTGCTTAAAAGGTTGTTCATTCTCTAGGTCAATCCTATGCTTCACTGTTGTCACATGCCCAATGTCCTGTTCTCCAATAGAAAATACATCTAGAAACTGTGAAATAGTTTCCTTCCAAAGTCTGAGCTGTTCAGGTGTAACTGCAGCCTCATTGAAATCCATTAAGTCCATGACCGGCTGACCTTCACCTTGAGGAAATGTATCAGCTGGAAGATCCTCAATGGAGACAACTTGTAGTTCACATAGCAGGGCACGGGTTGGGATAGACACAGTTCTTGTGGTGACATTAGAGACATGAACTGGAACCATGATCTTCTCATCATGATGGAAATTGACAAGTGTAGGGGCAATGTCTAGATCAGATGGGATGGCAGAGTGTCTAGTCGGTTGTACAACAGCACATGTGTCCTTGTAGGCAATAGGCTTGTACAAGTATCCTTGGATAACTCTCTCGGTGTTAGGTGGAATGGTAAAACGATTGTGTTCAGCACTTCGAATCTGACCTAATGAGTAGTTGTGTCGTGCCAGTTCCCTGTCTTGTAAGAGCATATTACGGAACGCCATATACCATGGGGTATGAATATCAGCCTTTTGAAGAAATTTATTTCCATACTGTTGCTTACATTCATCCATGTAGCAAGATAGGATATTTGTACCTAACAGCACCGGAACGGTGGTGTTGTAAGGGGTATCAGGGACAACTAACATAAGACAAGGAAGCTTAGCTGAGGTTGCACCTGTACCCTGAACTTCAACTTCTATATACCCGTGGTAGGGTAGATGCTGGCCATCTGCACACTCTATCCTCAGAATGGCATCTAGTGGATGTAAAGGTGTAGCTGATAAGGACTGAATGTAGAGACTATGGGAAACTGTTGACACTGTTGACCCAGTATCTAACAGGGCCCTTGTCTCTATACCATTAACGAAAGCTGTTCCTTCATTAGGTTTACCCATCAGCTTGGATACCTGCTGATTACAGTTGGGTGGGCGTCCGTGTTCAAAGCCTACGGTTTGCCCCGTCCCATAGGCATCTTCCTGTTTAAAGAAACCCTTGAGTGGTCCAGTCTCACTCGACATCCATACTGTAGGTGTCCTGGCTGTTTACATCGGAAACAAATAGGCTCCTGGGTATCTGGATGTCTTGAGGGTTGCTGATCCTGAGGAGTTCCTGTTGTTGGTTGATGCCACCTTCTAACCTGAGTTCCCGTAGGGGGTAGTGACCAATGATGTTCCTGAGGTATGGATTGTGGATGCCAGTACGAATCTGATCCATGTGGTGTAGTAGCTCTCTGGCGGCTGTGTTGGTATTGCCAGGGTGTAGTGGTATCAGCTGGTTGAATATCCCTCTGCTTCTTCAGCTCAGCAACTTCAGTTGATAACTGTTTCAAGATCCCCTTGATCTCCTTCATCTCTGGATCCTGCGCTGCTACAGCGGCCATATTGTGAGTTACACTCTTCTCCCCTGTTCTGGCTCCTCTCTGCTGCAGGTCAACCTCTGCTCTTCGAAGGGCTCGTAGAAGATCTGCATAACTGCAACCCTGGTCAAATATAGGTGCTGTGAGATCTCGAAGATCTGGCATGGATCCTGACCACAGCTGGGTCCTCAACATCTCTCCTCTGTTTTCCTGTGGAATGGATCCCTGTGTTGCCGCCTGGTTCAGTAGGTGCTCCAACCTACAATCCCATATTGCGACTTCTTCTGTCTCTCCCTGGCGTGCGCCATAAAAACAAGCTAACAATGACTGGTTCCTGTCAACACTACCGAAAATGCTTTCCAACTTGGAGATGAGCTGCTGTAAGTCTGCTTCGGGACCAAGGCACATGGCAATAGTGGCTGCCTTCCCACGCAAAGAGTGCTGTACCGTATTGGCGACAGCCTGCAGAGACAATGATTTGTTCTGTAACAAACATTGGACTTGATACTTCCAGACGTCAAAAGATGTCTCGCCCTTCTGTTCACCTGAGAAGGATGGTAACCTTGGGGCTTGTGTCAAGGTAACTGGTGTAGGACAACTTGAAGTAGGCGATTGATTCTCCAAATGTCCAAGAAAAGATGCACCTTGAGGCTCATCTTCAACCTTAACCTTGGTCTGAGTATAGCTCTTCATCCACTGTACTAGGTCCTCTGGGCTATCAGCTTTAGGCCAGGCGTTAAGTGCCTTGAAAGCTCCAATGAGATTCTTTACCTCCTCTGGAGTTGGTTCACTCATAGCGAATGGCACGAAGATAGGACATAAACTCAAGAGAAGTAGGATAGGTAAAGGAATGACAAAGATGAATGTCAAACAACCTGCAAGAGGTTGCTAAGCTTATGACCTAATTGAAAACAATAGAAACAAATAGAACAGGGACATCTGACGTTATGCTCTCAGTTACGGATAAACCTGGTGTAGAACATCGAAATCTGACGTTATGCTCTCAGTTACGGATAAACCTGATGTAGTACAGGGACATCTGACATTATGCACTCAGTTGCTGGTAGACCTGGTGTAGTACAGGGACATCTGACGTTATGCACTCAGTTGCGGTTAGACCTGGTGTAGTACAGGGACATCTCACGTTATGCTCTCAGTTACGGATAAACCTGATGTAGTACAGGGACATCTGACGTTATGCACTCAGTTGCTGGTAAACCTGATGTAGTACAGGGACATCTGACGTTATGCTCTCAGTTACGGATAAACCTGCTGAGTACAGGGACATCTGACGTTATGCACTCAGTTGCTGGTAGACCTGCTGAGTACAGGGACATCTGACGTTATGCACTCAGTTGCTGGTAGACCTGGTGTAGTACAGGGACATCTGACGTTATGCACTCAGTTGCTGGTAGACCTGGTGTAGTACAGGGACATCTGACGTTATGCACTCAGTTGCTGGTAAACCTGATGTAGTACAGGGACATCTGACGTTATGCACTCAGTTGCTGGTAGACCTGGTGTAGAACAGGGACATCTGACGTTATGCACTCAGTTGCTGGTAGGCCTTCTGTAGAACAGGGACATCTGACGTTATGCTCTCAGTTACGGATAAACCTGGTGTAGAACATCGAAATCTGACGTTATGCTCTCAGTTACGGATAAACCTGGTGTAGTTCAGGGACATCTGACGTTATGCTCTCAGTTGCGGGTAAACCTGGTGTAGTACAGGGACATCTGACGTTATGCTCTCAGTTACGGATAAACCTGATGTAGTACAGGGACATCTGACGTTATGCACTCAGTTGCTGGTAGACCTGGTGTAGAACAGGGAAATCTGACGTTGTGCACTCAGTTGCTGGTAGACCTGGTGTAGAAAAGGGACATCTGACGTTATGCTCTCAGTTACGGATAAACCTGATGTAGTACAGGGACATCTGACGTTATGCACTCAGTTACGGATAAACCTGGTGTAGTACAGGGACATCTGACGTTATGCACTCAGTTGCTGGTAGACCTGGTGTAGAACAGGTTAATCTGACGTTATGCTCTCAGTTGCTGGTAGACGTGGTGTAGAACAGGGACATCTTACGTTATGCTCTCAGTTGTGGGTAAACCTGGTGTAGTACAGGGAAATCTGACTTTGGGCTCCCAATAACAGGTGAACATGATGTAGAACAGGGACATCTGACGTTATGCACTCAGTTGCAGGTAAATCTGATGTAGAACAGGGAAATCTGACGTTTTGCTCTCAGTTGCGGATAAACCTGATGTAGTACAGGTAAATCTGACTTTGGGTTCCCAATTACAGGTGAACATGATGTAGTACAGGGACATCTGACGTTGTGCACTCAGTTGCGGGTAAATCTGATGTAGAACAGGGACATCTGACGTTATGCTCTCAGTTACGGATAAACCTGATGTAGTACAGGGACATCTGACGTTATGCACTCAGTTACGGTTAAACCTGGTGTAGTACAGGGACATCTGACGTTATGCACTCAGTTGCTGGTAGACCTGGTGTAGAACAGGTTAATCTGACGTTATGCTCTCAGTTGCTGGTAGACGTGGTGTAGAACAGGGACATCTTACGTTATGCTCTCAGTTGTGGGTAAACCTGGTGTAGTACAGGGAAATCTGACTTTGGGCTCCCAATAACAGGTGAACATGATGTAGAACAGGGACATCTGACGTTATGCACTCAGTTGCAGGTAAATCTGATGTAGAACAGGGAAATCTGACGTTTTGCTCTCAGTTGCGGATAAACCTGATGTAGTACAGGTAAATCTGACTTTGGGTTCCCAATTACAGGTGAACATGATGTAGTACAGGGACATCTGACGTTGTGCACTCAGTTGCGGGTAAATCTGATGTAGAACAGGGAAATCTGACGTTATGCTCTCAGTTGCGGGTAAACCTGGTGCAGGGCTTTTAATTAATTTAATTATACAGTGGCTGATCTCTGTTATAGAGATCTAGTTATTGTTCACCACTGTGAAAGTGATACACATGCAACACATAGTATGCGATTTGGTGGTGCGTTTTACGGACGTAAACGTTTTTTGACGTCAGACTTTTGTTGACAACACTTATATTCGGTTTTAATGATGTATATTTCATGCCCCCTACGCTTTTTTATAATTTATACTATTATAACAAAGAATATTGAAAAAACACTATTAAAATATGAAATACTCTTAATGCAGACCAGCATGCATGGTTGATCCTGAACGGTGGACAATGTTGGGAAGAACTCTCCAGTAACCAATTCTTGTTGGTAAGGAAACTGAACATGGAGGCATCTTCATTGCATTGGATGGTCAGGCACGGTGGCGGGGCTGATTACTTTCCATTGTAGAATGATGTATTATCGTTGAAGACGTTAAATTGTAACACGCTTGTGCTGACAATACACTTATTTTATTGCAGCTTCCGGGACTTCCCGGGTTTCCACTGAAGCACACAGTAGAGGTAACCATTGTGTTTTGTTAACACTATGTATTCACTCTTTTTGCTAACGGCACTGATGCAACAAGGTATATAAGTAGTTGTTAAATATATCATTACTTATAAGCATTGTGGTAATAGTGCAGCCTTGGGGATGGTTACATTAGGTCAATGTGACATGATGCTGATACAACTGCGCTCCTGTTGCAGGGAAAGAAGAGTTGCACCTGAAGGATGTGACTCCCCGTCCTCCAGAAGGACAATCTAAAGGTGAAGCTGGTGGTGGTGGCAGCAGATGCGATGCTGCAAAAACGTATACATATGTTGTTGGTTGGTTGGTTTGTTGATTAACGCCGCATTCAGCAATATTCCAGCTATATGACGGCGGTCTGTGAATAATCGAGTCTGGACCAGAAAATCCAGTGATTAATATCATGAAGATCGATCCACGCAATTGGGATCAATGACATGCATCAACCAAGTCAGCGAGCCTGACCACCCGATCCCGTTAGTCGCCTTTTACGACAAGCATAGTCACCTTTTACGGCAAGCATGGGTTATGCTGAAGACCTAATCTACCCCGGAATCTTCGGGTCGGTGAAACTGGTGGTGTTGCAAGCAGAAGCGATGCTTCAAAAACGTATACATATGTTGTTGCATGCCAACTGCACAGGAAGAGAGTTGTTGCAGGGTGCAACTTTTAACAGGACAGACTTGGGGGATCAAATTGTTGCTAGATTATAAAGAACTGATGATGCATTGTGGGCAACTCTTGTATAAATACACAGTGTGTTTTTCTTGTGTACCACTTTTGTATAAACATATGCAGTCGATTGTGGATTGTGTATAACTGTTGTACAAAGATATAGAGCTGTCATTACAATGTGTTTCGTTGTTGTGCACAGGCATTGAACTGGTGCTGAATTAAGTACAACTGTTGTTATGGAATCACATATGTTGCTATGTACACACCTGTTGACTTATGGCATGCAGCTAGTGTTGAATTGTGCACGGATTTTGTATTAGGGTTTCAACAGTGTGGAAACATTGTATACAGCTGTTGTTGAATTGTGTATGACATTTGTATTAGGGTTTCACCCGTGTTGAAGCATTGTGTACAGCTGTTATTGAATTGTGTATATCTTTTGTATTAGGGTTTCACCCGTGTGGAAGTAGTGTGTACAAATGTTGTTGAATTGTGTACGGCTTTTTTTATTAGGGTTTCAACTGTGTGGAGTGAGTGAGTGAGTTAAGATTTAACGTCACATCGGCAGTATTTCAGCCATATTGTGACGAGAAGTACATGAATAATACATATAGTTAGACAATATAAAACGCTGTCAACGATGGACAGTACAATAACTAGCATATCACAGTCTATTTAAAACTAGTTGAGAATATATAAAAGTCATAAGTATAAGTGAACAACACAATATAAAAATAGGCTAGAGATCGTCAGCAACTGAAGGGAGATCTCAACTGTGTGGAAACTTTGTGTGTACAGCTGTTGTTGAATTGTGTACGGCTTTTGTATTAGGATTTCACCCTTGTGGAAGCAGTGTGTACAGCTGTTGTTTAATTGTGTACAGCTTTTGTATTAGGGTTTCACCAGTGTGGAAGCAGTTTGTACATCTGTTGGTTAAATGTATACATCTAATGTTGCGTGGTATAAATAGCAGGATGGGTGTTGTACACTATTATCATCTATAGTTGATATTGATTCTTGAACACATGCTCATGATCGCACAATCGACTCTGCTTTTGGTATAGATATGAACATGGACAGGGTTTTGTCGTTTGTATCTGCAGGATAGGGCATATTTTCATATAATGTAAGTGATACAGCTTGGTGTGTTAATGTTGCTACACTGCGAGAATATAGCAGCGTGTCGTAATGTCAGCTTAGTATATGTGCATGACACTTTATTCATTTTATGTACAGGCCAAGATTACTGCTGAAATACTGAAATATAAATATTTCCGTTCACTGTGACGTTGCTAGCGTTAGAATGACCTGTCCAGTTTGAATAGGATTGAATATAAATTACAGACATACACAATCATCAAACCACATTTTGTGTATGTGATTTTGTATTCAGAAATAGTCAATGTGTAATTTATGTGTATTTTATATAGTTTTAGTTTGTTAGGCAGAGACGAATTTCATTAATTGTGTAATGCTCAAGTGAATTAGTTTTTCTTATATTTGTTTTAGCTGGATGCTACCCTCCTGGTATAAGGGTCCGTCCTCCGCCGCTCCCACGCATATAGCGCTTTTGACAGTACCTGGACCAGCGTCTACTTTATTAGCAACTGCACTGCACCTTGACCAACACCTACATCTACTTCATTACCAGCTGCACGACACCTCGACCAACACCTACATCTACTTCATTACCAACTGCACGACACCTCGACCACCACCTACATCTACTTCATTACCAACTGCACGACACCTCGACCACCACCTACATCTACTTCATTACCAACAGCACGACACCTCGACCACCACCTACATCTACTTCATTACCAACTGCACGATACCTCGACCACCACCTACATCTACTTCATTACCAACTGCACGACACCTCGACAAGCACCTACTTCTACATCATTACCAACTGCACGACACCTCGACCAACACCTACATCTACTTCATTACCAACTGCACGACACCTCGACCAACACCTACATCTACTTCATTACCAACTGCACGACACCTCGACCACCACCTACATCTACTTCATTACCAACTGCACGACACCTCGACCAACAACTACATCTACTTCATTACCAACTGCACGGAACCTTGACCAACACCTACATCTACTTCATTACCAACTGCACAACACCTTGACCACCACCTACATCTACTTCATTACCAACTGCACGGCACTTTGACCACCACCTACATCTACTTTATAAGCAACTGCACGACACCTCGACCAACACCTACATCTACTTCATTACCAACTGCACGACACCTCGACCACCACCTACATTTACTTCATTACCAACTGCACGACACCTCGACCACCACCTACATCTACTTTATTACCAACTGCAGGACACCTCGACCAGCACCTACATCTACTTCATTACCAACTGCACGACACCTCGACCACCACCTACATCTACTTCATTACCAACTGCACGGAACCTTGACCACCACTTACATCTACTTCATTACCAACTGCACAACACCTTGACCACCACCTACATCTACTTCATTACCAACTGCACGGCACTTTGACCACCACCTACATCTACTTTATAAGCAAATGCACGACACCTCGACCAACACCTACATCTACTTCATTACCAACTGCACGACACCTCGACCAACACCTACATCTACTTCATTACCAACTGCACGACACCTTGACCAACACCTACATCTACTTCATTACCAACTGCACGACACCTTGACCAGCACCTACATCTACTTCATTACCAACTGCACGACACCTCGACCAACACCTACATCTACTTTATGAGCAACTGCAGGACACCTCGACCAACACCTACATCTACTTCATTACCAACTGCACGACACCTCGACCACCACCTACATTTACTTCATTACCAACTGCACGACACCTCGACCACCACCTACATCTACTTTATTACCAACTGCACGACACCTCGACCAGCACCTACATCTACTTCATTACCAACTGCACGACACCTCGACCACCACCTACATCTACTTTATTACCAACTGCACGACACCTCGACCAGCACCTACATCTACTTCATTACCAACTGCACGACACCTCGACCACCACCTACATTTACTTCATTACCAACTGCACGACACCTCGACCAACACCTACATCTACTTTATTACCAACTGCACGACACCTCGACCAGCACCTACATCTACTTCATTACCAACTGCACGACACCTCGACCACCACCTACATCTACTTCATTACCAACTGCACGGAACCTTGACCACCACTTACATCTACTTCATTACCAACTGCACAACACCTTGACCACCACCTACATCTTCATCATTACCAACTGCACGGCACTTTGACCACCACCTACATCTACTTTATAAGCAACTGCACGACACCTCGACCAACACCTACATCTACTTCATTACCAACTGCACGACACCTTGACCAACACCTACATCTACTTCATTACCAACTGCACGACACCTCGACCAACACCTACATCTACTTCATTACCAACTGCACGGCACCTTGACCAGCACCTACATCTACTTCATTACCAACTGCACGACACCTCGACCAACACCTACATCTACTTTATGAGCAACTGCAGGACACCTCGACCAACACCTACATCTACTTCATTACCAACTGCACGACACCTCGACCACCACCTACATTTACTTCATTACCAACTGCACGACACCTCGACCACCACCTACATCTACTTTATAACCAACTGCACGACACCTCGACCAGCACCTACATCTACTTCATTACCAACTGCACGACACCTCGACCAACACCTACATCTACTTCATTACCAACTGCACAGAACCTTGACCACCACTTACATCTACTTCATTACCAACTGCACAACACCTTGACCAACACCTACATCTACTTCATTACCAACTGCACGGCACTTTGACCACCACCTACATCTACTTTATAAGCAACTGCACGACACCTCGACCAACACCTACATCTACTTCATTACCAACTGCACGACACCTTGACCAACACCTACATCTACTTCATTACCAACAGCACGACACCTCGACCAACACCTACATCTACTTCATTACCAACTGCACGGCACCTTGACCAGCACCTACATCTACTTCATTACCAACTGCACGACACCTCGACCAACACCTACATCTACTTCATTACCAACTGCACGACACCTTGACCAACACCTACATCTACTTCATTACCAACTGCACGACACCTCGACCACCACCTACATCTACTTCATTACCAACTGCACGACACCTCGACCAACACCTACATCTACTTCATTACCAACTGCACGACACCTTGACCAACACCTACATCTACTTTATAAGCAACTGCACGGCACCATCACCAGCACCTACAGTGGTCATTCTCGCTAACATGGATGATGCATGTCATTGTATCCCAAAAAACATGTGACAGGTGAAGATCGATGAATTATCTCCCTCTATTTGTGTGTAGCATTGGTACATTAACTAAACATCCCACTGATCTTCCTTTTTCGTTTTGATAATCTATCCAAACATCACTCATGCAAGTATGATGTCCGGTTGTGTGCAGTGCAATAACTCATCTGAACTATGTTCACTGGACCTTTTCGTAATCGGCCTAATTGCAGCACTAAAAAGGTTATTACTTGTGTTGTTTTACCATCTGCAGCCTATGCTAGAATACGTAACTGTATTTGTAATGAGTAAGGATGAGACAAATGGACGAACATCTTCTTTATTACAATTAAGAGCGACGTTCCGGTGTAGGTTCTAACACTTATCAAGCAAGTGAAGTACAGAGTATGGTTGACAAGAATATATACAGGATAGGAGGCAGTTTTTATACAGTTGAGTAGGTTTAAGATGCAGTTACACTGTTGTATTTGTAATTAGTTGTGTGTTTGATTAAACAATAATCAGAGAAGTAAGTGAGTTCTTACTTTAATTAGAGATCATTGAGATCATGGGGTCACCATGAGGTGTACTGAGAAGTACAGCACCAATCATCTGATGGTCTGAGTAGTAGATTGGAGTCTGGAATGCTACAGCACTGGCATCATCAGTAAACAACAAGTCCAGTGTAGCTCCAAGACATTGAGTTGGAAAATGAATGAGGTGAGACATTTTCCGCACATTTAAGAAATCTTCAAGTTTCAGTTTTTCACTCAGATCACAGTTGAAATCGCCAGTAACGAGGACATGTTCACATTTCTACTACTTGGAGAGATCCTGAATTTTCTGCATGAAGTTAGTAAGTGAATGCGATAACCGTGTCAATGACACTTTTGGAGGAACATACACACAGGCAATGCAGAACTTGTAAATGTATTCAATACTGCGAGATGCCATTACATCACACAGCTGGACACTGGTTTTTTTAAAACTTGTTGAAACATACACAGCAATACCATGTCCAGTGTCTCCTAGATAGATTTGATATCCTGGCAGGTCTCTATCCCTGTAATCATTGATGTGTGTTTCAGTGAAACACAAAAACATCAAGCACACCAACAAACTTATCATTCTTCACATTTTCGTAATGAGCACTGGGGGATCGAACTTTCAAGTGAGCCACCTTGAGTCCATCACAATGAATGTTCTCTTTATTTTGCAATCTAGTCATCTCATCCAATGTGTTTTTGTTTACTACAATTTTGTGCAAAACCTACAAGGTTTAGGCCTTTCCTTGATTTGACCCTACAAAGCATCATGTACATTTTACGAGACAGGGCTTTAAATTTACTTCCTTGTGTAATTGTCATTTTCTCAATCATCTGCTCATAGGTGCTACCTTGAGACTTGTGGATTGTGAGGTCATATCCTACAGAGTTCCTTGATACTGTTTTCTTTCAACCATGACAGAAAATTGTACGAGTTTCAAGATCTGTTCCGGGAACAAGAACTATCGCCATTTTCAGTCAAAGTTAAAGTCGTTGCCAGGGAAACTAGAAAATTTGTTGTTTATTTTAAATCCCAAAGTATCAAAAGGCACCAGTTTACCTCTAGGCCTGTTTTTGTGCCAAATTTGGCGAAGAAATAATGTACGGTTTTCAAGATCTGCTCCGGAAACGAGGACTACAACCATTTTCAGTCTAAGTCAAAATCGTTGTCATGGAAACTCGACCTATCTATGTGCCAAGGTTAGTTGAGAAATATCTCATGGTTTTTAGTGTTCTGCTCCGAAAACGAAATGTGACGGACGGAGGGATGGAAGAACGGAAGGATGGAAGGAAGGAAAGGACGGACTGCACTTCGTGGCGGGGGATAATAACCACATTCCCTCACTGCTAAAATAATCAATACGTTCCTTTGAACGCGAAAGACAGAACATTGAGTCATTTGATTTTGCATCACTGATTCGTTCAACATGAACTTCAATATTTATGTACAAGTTTTCCGCCACAACTCGATACACTAAAGCTCTACGCTACTGTTTTCACTGTCACTCAATGCTCAGCTGCAGTGGGGGTGAGTCAAGTCTGAGAAGTACCCTCAGCAATGTACATGTTTGTAGTTGGGGTATTTACAGTCTACATGATATGTAGTCACGTCACATGTAAAGGCGAGGAGGTGTTCCTTACCAGGGTGGCTCCTTCCTCGCTGGTGTGTGACTCTCTGTGTACCTACACAACTAGGTGTGGCTCCTACACCTGGGATGCTGCCACCAGAAGCTGCCACCTGCACACACAAGGAGACACAGAGACAGAGACGATGCCCCTTACAAAGAATCGGGTAAGTTCAACAACGTAACAACAGTGAGATACAAGAGTAAGGTTTTTTGCTGGTGATTGTAATATAATCACTCATTGATATAATAGATGGTTAGGTGAAATTGGTTTTCACGTTGTCTTCATAGATCTACAGAACTTCATTGCAGCTCGCAATATGTACACTAGGGTTATCAGGATGAAAGGAAATCGTGTATGTAGAAATGATCAAGGACAAATTGTTAGCTTATATTTACGATGCCCGATCCTTTTGGAGGTCGTTGAAACACTGTACATCAACAACTAAATAAATAAATCGCCAATACGTATTGACACTTGGTACGAGCACTTTAAAAATTGTTTGATATTTCTGGTAAGCAACATACTGTATGGTTGATGATGACGACGAGGATAATAATGTTTATGAGGCTGTTCATGAACCTGATGATACATCTACCTCTATCTTGGACTCTTCTATTTCACAAGAAGAAATATCAAAAGCAATCTCAGAACTTAAATGTTCAAAACCTGCTGGACTGGATAATATAATCCAAGAGTTTTTTGTAGCTGCTCAAAATATTTTGGTTAATATTGTACTTGTTGAATTTGTTTCTTTTGACATTTGGAAATTCCAAAGGCCTGGTGTTCAGGAATAATAATTCCTTTGTATAAAAGGGTGATGCATTATCTCCCAATAATCATAGAGGAATAAACTCTATCAAGTGTATTTAGTAAACTCAGCAGTATTAAATAATAGATTATCATATTGGGCCAGCGCCTATGACAAGATAGTTGAATGGCAAACTAGTTTTCGCAAGGGGTATAGTACAACAGACAATATAGGCATACTACAAGTTATTCAACAGTACTTACAACAACAAAATTGGAAGATGTATGCACTATTTGTAGCTTTTAAGAAAGCTTTTGATCTTGTAAATATATCTAAATTATTTCAGCAAGGAGTCTCTCCTAAATTTGTGAAGTCTTTACAATCTATCTATGAACGTGTCAAGGCCAGTGTCAGACAAGGTTGTGTATTACACCCAATGTTGTTTTTTTATGTTCATCAATAAACTGGCAAGAGATATAGAATTATTATGTTCGCATGGAATACAACTACATCCCGATCTTGTTCAACTTGTTTCTGTTATTATTTGCTGATGATAACATTTTTGTTTCTGATAGTGTGTGGACTTCAGCAACGTATTAATACATTGAAATTGTTTTGCGATGAATATCATTTATATGTAAATTTAGAG